GGATGCACAATTTCTTTTAAAAATTAATTAATTTATATAGAAAAATTAAGTATATTAGATTTCCATCTTTTACTATATTTCCTTAACAATTCATAATATATTACAAATAATTTAATTAAATAAAGAATATAATTTACACACGTAATTCATGATTTGAGTCCTAACTACTCGGATTTTAGCATAAATAGTAGCTACGTACGGACTCTCGTCACCTCGTGCGTACGTAGCCCCCACATTTAGCAACAATTATTAAATTAAATTATCTATGGGGTAAATTTCCCCGCACAAGATTAGATAAGAGACTTACCTTTTCTCAAAGTTCCACTGTTCGATCAAATGTCGTGTAAAACCTCAATTCAATGCCGAAAAATGTGAAACTATCCAAAAGTTATATATAATAATTAATACATGTTCAATTATTCGAAATTCATCTATTAAATAAATTACCCTATCCAAAATGGTAAAATTTTTAAAATTCATCTCGGGCCCACGTGCCCGGATTCCGAAAATATTCGGAGAAAAATATTACCCATATTCTCAAGAACTCAAATATATAATTTCTATCCAATTCCATAACCATTTTCGTTGTTAAAATCTTATTTTTATAAAAATCTAGGTTTTTTTTTATCTAAATCCTTAATTTCCAAGATTTACCAGTTATAATCTATCCATAATCTATGTATTTTACTCAAGGTGTGTAGCTTAAAGTTGCTAGTTGAAATCCTCTCTCAAAAGCTATGAAATCGCCCGAAAATGGAGAAATATGGGCTCAAAAATGTCCGAGCTCCGATTTTTAACAATCCTATCAAGCAGTTGTTTCGCATCTGCGGAAAAGGTATCGCAGATGCAATTTTTTCCCCTAAGCGGCCCTTCGCTTCTACGGCCAGCGGCTCGCATCTGCGACTTGTACGTCGCACCTGCGCCTTCTCCGCACCTGCGCTTCTCTCCTTCGCACCTGCTCCTTCGCAGGTGCGGCCCTTTTTCCGCGTCTGCGGATCTGACAGAACTCGGGAGCTTCAACTTTGGCTCTCAATTTCCATCTTAGTCCGAGCCTCGTCTGATTAACGCTCGGGGCTCCCGGGGCCCTGCCCGAACATACCAACAAGATTGACATCATAAAACGGACTTGCTCGAACTCTCAGAACTTGTAAAACAACATCAAAACTAAGAATCATACCTCAAACCAAATTGATTCAACTTAGAAATTTCAAATTCTTCAAACTTACTCTGAATGCGCCGAAACATACTTATACTACTCAGAATGATACCAAATTTTGCATGCAAGTCGTAAATTACCATACAGAACTATTCTCAAACTCAGAATTTCGAACGGACCTCGATTACTCGAAAACCTACTGTAAACCAAATTTAAAGAACTTTAAACCTTCAAATAGTTGGTTTTCACTATTAAGCGCTAAAACCCTCCTGGGTTATCCAAAACTCGATTCGAACATAAGCCCAAGTTCGAAATTATTATACGAACCTATTGGAACCGTCAAATCCCGATTCTGGGGTCGTTTTCTTAAAATGTTGACCGAAGTCAAACTTGGCCTCTTAAAGTTAAACTAAGGAACCAATTGTTCCGATTTCAACCCGATCACTTTCAAATTTTGAACCAACCATCCCCGCAAGTCATAAATTAATAAAAGCACATACGGAGAGTTTTATTTAGGGGAACGAGGTTCTAAAAGTCAAAATGACCGGTTGGGTCATTACAAATAGTTAGGATAGTGGACTTATTACTATTGACTTATAAATAATGGACTAAATTAAAAATATAAAAGTTATAAATTTTCAGATATCCAAAAATCTGAAGTATCAAATTTAATATCCAATCCGAAATCCAAAAATTTTAAAAATTAAATACGAGATCCAATCTATAATCCGAAAATTCAAACCAAAAGTTCAAACAATTCGAATTTCGATTTGGATTTTGGGTTTACCTAAACTATGCCCACCCATAGTTGGGTGGCATAAAAATTGCAAAATATTATTTGGCGATAGGAGGACAACATGGCAAAAACCTAAGCTCCTGTAATTGTAAAGTGAACTCTTCATATTCCTTTCAACCAATTTACAAATAATAAAGAAAGGTAAATAGTAATCTTGTACTCCAAAATCGATGCTAGATATTGTAGACTAAAAAGAAAAATTAAACTTATATGTATAAAATTGTAAAGTATCAATTCTTTATTTTAATCAGGTACTCCCTGAATCTTAAGTTATCAGATTAGGATTAGCAGTTTACTGTTTTTTTAAAGTTATTTTGATGGTGGGAAAAAACTCTGCAAATTGGGAGGGGGGGCAAACTGCGGAATGCAAACAGACCTGCTTTGGAGCTTCTTGGAGATTAAAAGTACTTTTTTGCCGGGATAAAAAAGTGTTTTTGAGCATTAATTGAATTAGTTTTTTCTGCTTTTGGGGAGAAGTTATAAATTCTAACTTCTTTCAAAAAATAAAAAATTAATTTATTCAAGACAAAAATATCCTTGCAATAAATTTATATATTTCAAATTATCTCTTATTAACTTAAATTTTTATTTTTCATTTTACTATTCCTTTCTTCTCTTTTTTATTTCCATTATTTTTATTCTCTTTTTCCTATTCCTCTTTTGGAATATTCTCTCTATTATAATTTATAAATAGATCTCTTCTTTTATAAAGTGATTTATAAGAGTAGATTTTTAATTTATATTAAATGATGTATTTTTATATATTTAAATCATCATGTAAATAATAAGTAATACTCTACCAAGTATCCAAAATTATTGTTTTGAAATAATTATATTTTATATTAATTATCATCTCAAATTTATATTGTTACTTTATGTTTTGTATTTTAGTTGAATTTATTTATAATAAATATTTAAATGCATATCTCTTTTTAAATAATACTAATTACAAACTGAATTTTTATTGTCCCTTTTTATAATTTGATATTCAAAAGTACTTTTTGAAAAGATCGACCGAACATAATTTGCTTACAAAAAATATTACTCAAATGAGATGACCAAACACAAACTGATATTTTGCAAAAAATATTTTTTTAAAAATAGGTAGTTTTTGGCCGCTTGCAGCCAAACGGGCTCTTAGATTTTCAGTGAGAGTGGTTTGAATCTCGTGAAGTTAAAAATTAATGGTTTGTGTATAACAAATCAAATATTTTATTAATCTTGTGATATTGTGTAATTAAGGGTAAAATAGAGTGTTAGTTATTAACAACTTAGCAACGGGGCGGCTCAATGATATTTGGGGCCTAAAGTCATACTTCAACGAGGGGCCTTGAATTTTCGGTATTACAAAAAATAATTTAGTAAAATTTTATTTAAAATTTATTTTTCTAGCTTTTTGAGATACAAAATTATTAATACTTTACTTATAATCAATTTTTTTATGACAAGGTGAGTTGCTCTGATGGCAAGCACCCTCCACTTCCAACCAAGAGGTTGTGAGTTCGAGTCACCCCAAGAGCAAGGTGGGGAGTTCTTGGAGGGAAGGATGCCGAGGGTCTATTGGAAATAGCCTCTCTACCCCAGGGTAGGGATAAGGTCTGCGTGCGCACTACCCTCCCCAGACCCCACTAACGGGATTATACTGGGTTGTTGTTGTTGTTGTAATCGGTTTTTTTACTAGGACCATATATGTTCTAGGATATTATTCCATTCTCTTAGAATTTTCTAATTTTCCGAAAGATTTATGATAGATTTCTCACCAACTTCTTCTTCTTCTTGGATTTCATTATCGTCTAGCTCAATTTGTTAGTGATTTGTTCATCTACCATAAATTCTTCTATATTTTCTGATTCAAAAAATTTATAGTTCGCTAAAAATTTATCAATAACTCCTTTGTTGGAAANAAGATGTAACGTGGGGAAAGTTTGAAAAAAAGAGTGTTGGCAATTGCTTTCTGCTATCTTATTTGAGAGAATGATTTACGAGACAATGAACTTGTGAGTGTAGAGAGGCCAAACGGAATATAAAAGATTGAAGTAAAATATGGTTTGAAGAGGGAGTAATAAAGTGGTAAAATTAATGTATTTTCAATGACTTTGCAAACGTTGGCTATTTTTCAATTATCAGTCCGAAAACTGACTAGCCCGTGCTATTTTCACCCAATATCTCTAGCGGTCTCAAATTATTTTTTTTCATGAAAAAAATATGCTTTTTCTTTGATAAACTAAATATTTTTAAGAAAAAAATTATCATATACAACTATTTAATATTAGAAATAGTGGGGCCTCAAGCAATTGCTTGAGTTGCTTTACTATTGGGCCGCCGCTGCTTAGCAAATAAAAATATAGAAAACTTATACTTTTTTTTAACAGATAAAAAATGAAAGTAAATTATAAATATGGAACAACATCCATTAGAAGCTCAGCTTTTCAGTCGTTCCAAACAAATGCTCGCTCTGATTGTGGTAATTATTTTTCTTTTTTCATGGCAAGTGCATATAATTTAGACAAAGCTGATAGGTTATACAGAATTTTGATTAAGTCGGCTTAGTACTTAGAGCCCGTTTGGTTGGTCGAAGGAGTGATTTAATCACCACATTCAACTCTTCTGTATAACTATATAAAACAATTTGGTTATACCTTTTGTTTCCCGCAGAAAATAATACCTTATGTGAAATAAGAATATCGAATTAGTAATATATGGATAAAAGAAAAAAAATAACAAAAATGCTCTCGCATTCTTTAAATTTATTTCTTTGTTTACCTTGAAAATATCAAACAAAAAATAACTCACTCTATAAATATTGCATTACAAATTTTTACATTATATTTATTGTATTGCTCATTCTTACATTATTAATTTAATTTTTATATTATAAATTTTGCATTAATTTATTGCATGTAAGACTTGAGTTAGTGTCACCGTAGTAGTAGAGAGAAAAGACTTATGATTTTTTTTTTTTTTTTTGGGGCCATGGCGGCGTTTGCAGAGCTGTAATATAATTCTACCTTTATTTTAATGTTTCCAACACAAGCCACAACATAGAAACATAAGGAAAATAAAGGTCCCTTCCTCACTTCCTCTTCGATTAATCTCTATCCCCAAAATTCTTCATTACTTTGTCTCTCCAAGAAATTAGAAAGAGCTAAACCTTTTTAATTATCTTCACAAAAGTTGCAGCTACTAAATGCTCCTCCCTTTTATTTTCCAGCCTCTAAATTTATTCATCACTTTTACACGCTAATATATAGTAGTGCAGACAAGAACTTTTACTTTTTCATTTCTTATTTTATAAAGACATTTTCTAATGAAGAAAATCCCACAGAAATCTAAGGGGTACAAACATCATTGTTGGGTTATAATCAAGGCAAGTGATCGTGCATTTCTGTTATGGATTGTCATGAGTCACAATTGAACTACGAGGAAAAAGGATTAAAGGTGGCAAAATGGCTAATTTCTTTTCACTAGACGGAAGAGGAAGTAGCAGCCAAGATCAACAGCAAGAAATTAGCAGCAGTCACCACCGTACCGTTAACCCAGTACCCACAGAAATCAGTGCAGAGAGTTGGTTCTTGTACAGAAATGATCATAATCAAGAAATGCCCACTTACAAAGGCTTCGAGCTATGGCAAAGTACAACTCCTCAGCATCAACCCGAACAACAACAACAACAACAGTTTCGTCACCCAATTTATCCTTTGCAAGATCTTTATTCCACTGCTGTTGGATTAGGTGTAGGGCCCAACCAAAGTGGCTTTGACATATTTGCAGGTGATCAACAGCGGCGGATCAAGAATTTAAACTTGACGAAATATTCTATTTGTGAAGTACCCATACTTTAAAAATTCTTTTTGAAATTTATTAGTAGTTGAACTTATATTATTCATATGTATATTCATATTCCTCATAGAGCCAGATCTATAATTTAAATTTGATGGGTTCAAAATTTATGCTATCATTACAGAATCATTGCACTTTATCAATTTTGAGGTTAAAATTTTAGGTTTTTTTACTCATGAAATTTTACTGATATTTTTTTACTTATATATCTTGCTCCCTACTCTTCTGGTTACTGGAAAATTACACAATATAGATAGTTTAACTTTTTGTTTTTAATTATATGTTGAATTCTTTGCGTTTATTTTTTTATATTTTTATACTCCTTAATAAAAAAATTTAGCTCTGACTTGCTCTGTGTAAAAATTAAGTATTAGATTTTAGTTGCACGTGGTGCATCATTTATGTCGAAAATATTAGATTCAGTCGAATCCATTTCTCAAAGGCCGCATCCGTTTTTGCAAAAAATGTAGCTATGACTTGCTCTATATGAAAAATAAGTATTAGGTTAAGTTGAACCTGGTAAGAGATATTGCATCATTTTATGTCGAAAATATTAGATTCAGAAAGGCCGCATCCGTTTTTTGTAGGTGATCATGAGGCATCAAGATCGGGGTTTGTGATGATGAGGAGTGGAGGAGGTGGAATTAGCTGCCAAGATTGTGGGAACCAAGCTAAGAAAGATTGTCAACACATGAGATGTAGGACTTGCTGCAAGAGTAGAGGGTTACAGTGCCAAACTCATGTCAAAAGCACTTGGGTTCCAGCCGCTAAACGCAGAGAAAGGCAACAACAACTTTCTGCTTTGCAGCAACAGGAACGACATGATCAGTTGCACTTAGATCATAATAATAATTATAAACCTAAAAGGAAAAGAGAGGATCCAAGTGCTTCCGCTCTTGTTTGTGCTCCTTTACCTTCAAATACTAATGGTAAAGTTCTTATTCCCTCTTTTTTAATTCATGTAACACAATATTTTTTTAAAATTTGTTTCAAAAGAATGACATTTTTTCAATATTTTCAAAATACTTGTAACTTAATTATATTTCTAAATTTTGTTAATGAGATAGATTTATATCACAGAAATATTTATAACATATTTATTAGTCTTTTCTTTTTCTTCATAAATTTTATGTCCCGTCAAACACGTTCCTATGAATTCGAATTGAGGGAGTATCTTTCTTCCTTTGTTTGTATAAACACATAGAGTCTCGAGATTCATCATGTAAAGGAGCTAAGGTTGCTTGCCTAAAATAATTCTATATAAAGTAGGTCTAGAAAGAGAAGCCCATAACCATAGAGTTTGATGAAAGTCAAGAGAAACGCTACAATGCAGTAGTAAAATCGTCAGCTTTTCCTTCTTCTAGCTCGTTGTCATTCTTTTCTCATCACATTCTTTTTTTGGGGGGTTTTCCCGACAAAAGATTGACAAAGAATATGCTATTATATATCTCCCTTCTCCCCATTTCTCTCTCGTTGCGTTGGTATCTATGTATGCACACTCTCTTTTCTCTAGACCTACACAAATTTATTTCAAACCCTCCAATTTACGTATGATAATTCGCTGTATCAATTGTTGATTAATATTAGATTTAATTGTTTACACTGATACTAGTATGTTACATTTAGTGGCAGAGCTAGCTTGAAGAAAGGGGATTGAAACCCCTTCATTGAAAATCATACCGTCTAAATGGTCAGAAACTATTCTTTTTGTTATATATAAGCTGTTGAATTATCTTGACATATGGAAAATTGTTAGTGCAGTGGCAAAAAGAGGGTTCAAAAATAATTTTTGGTCACAAGTTCAAAATCTTAGGTGATACTTTTAAATCCCCTTATATAAATTGTACATGCAGGTTGTACTATTTTTATCAAGTTACTATTAATTAATGCTGGCGATAAAAATTTACTTGTGATTATTTTTTCAATGATCTAATTTTGTAAATATTTTTTACGTGGAACATAATCTCTTATTGCGAGTATTTAAATGTAGCGTGTTTGATGTTTATAGGGTTAGAAGTGGGAAAATTTCCAGCAAAAGTAAGTTCAGCTGCCCTATTTCAGTGCATCCAAATGAGCTCAATTGAGGACGCTGAGGATCAGTTAGCATATCAGGCCGCTGTGAATATTGGGGGCCACGTGTTCAAAGGAATTCTATATGATCAAGGTCCTGAAAGTCAGTATAATAATATGGCTGCAGCCGGTGATACTTCTTCTGGTGGTGGAAGTGGTAGTGCTGGCATTCCACACCACCATAACTCCGCTGCCACAGCCATCGCAAGCGGCGGTGCTGCAGCGGCAGCGGAAGCCTCAAATTTTCTTGACCCTTCTTTATTTCCAGCTTCCCTTAGTACTTTCATGTCAACTGGTACGCAGTTCTTTCCACCTCCAAGATCTCCTAGATAAAAGAAAAAAATCTCATGACCGAATTGACATTGACTTTTTTACTGTATTAATGTGACACAGCTATGCTAGTTTGTAGTTAGAGACGACTCCAGAATTTGAATGTTATGGGTTCGTGTTCATATTCATCACAAACCATTTGATTTAATGGGTTCAAATTCTATTATGTTAGCACATGTATTGAATTTGAGACAATTATCGAGTTTATGTGAACCCATAACTAAAGCACTACATCCTCTTTCTAGGTAATACTATATAGTAGTAGTTTAGAAAAATGACACACGTTGATGATTCGAAGAGATTCCAGGAAGAATAGGAGCACGAGATAGAAAAAATTAGCGGGAGAAAAATGAGGGCGTTATGTCTAGTTTTTAGTAGAAATACGGATGCAGAGTTGAATTGTTTACATGTATTGTTTGTTACACGTTTTTTTTATTTTTTTTTGGGTAGTATTTGACTGAATATAAGGGTTTTGACTGAACATGATCGAGAGTTTAAGAAAGAAATAAATGTTTTTGCCATGTATATTTTTAGAACTAATGGTCTAAAACTTGGCATGATATTTAAAGTTTAAGAAGTTTTTGAATACAGAAAATATGTCATTTTAATTCTTTTTAACATATTAAAGGAAAGAGGTTACTTCTTTGTTTGGAAAATGTACAATGTAAATCATCGTAATTTTACCCTTTCTTTCACTATATATCTTGTACCAGCAATGCAATAAGTAGGAATACCTTTTTCTGTTGCCATGTTATGTCGATGGTATTTTAAATGATCTTTTGCATATGGGAGAGATGTGACTTGTATGCAATAGGAGATATATATGCAATAGCTTTTGATTTGATCAAGTTTGATTAAATGCATTGCCTGCGGGCGGGTCTATTAAGTCAAACCTAATTATGTGCCAAAAGATAACAAAATTAAACAACATTTAAGAGCATTCACACAAGATGCATCAAAGTGTTCTCTATTATTGTTAATAATGTCTACTTATATGCAGTAACTGTGGGAAAAACATTGTGTACTTTAATTTTCCTTTTTATCCAATTTTTCTGTCCTAATGCATGTTATTCTCTGATTTGAATTGAAGGCGTCATATCTTCTTCTGAGAATATTGCCCCAGGTTTTTTTCTCAGAATCATGTGTGTACAAATATGATGTCTTTTAGATTTACATATTAGTAGGAGTAACTAACTAAGTATTCTGTTCATCATCTTTCATTTTTCTAATTCATGAAGAACGAATTAGTACAATATGTCCTCTGTATTTTGGAATATTTTAGTCTTTTAAGAAGTAAATAGTCTTCCCAATTTGCTAATTATGGGCTTGTTAGTTATACATTTTTTGGGGTTTGAAATAAACCACTCCAACATTCTTTCTGCAGATTATAAGCAGATTTGGAGTGTGTCCAATACCTCTGTGTTATGAAAAATAGTGGATAGAGAACGTAGAAATGTGGATTATTGTAATTATACTTGATGATATGCAGCATGAGAAAAGCATCATGCAGGTAGAAAACAGAAGGGCGTCTAGAAAAATAACTATACCATGTTATTGATGGGGAAATATGAAATTTATGTGGTGGCCATCACCATTTGATTAACCTTGTACTTGTGGGGAGAAAAGATTACAACTTTAGATGAATAAGTTCATTCCGCTTTTAATTACACTAGTGTGGCAAAGTGAAACTGTGGTAGAAGAATTAATTATTAATATGTGAAAGGATACATGAATTTGTTTTTTTTTCCTTTGGGGGGACTGGTGAAGTAAAAATTAACTTCTTCATCCGTTTCAGTTTACGTGACACTATTTTCTTATTATTCTTTTAAAAAAATGACATACTTTTGTATTTGAAAACAATTAACTTTATATTTTTTATTTTTTCCTTAATGAAGAGCTTTTTATAACGAGACAAATCTGATAGCATGCTTAATAGACACTCTAATACTATGATATATTTAAGACCATAAATTTTAAAAGTATTTATTTATTTTTTAAACTTGTGTCAATTTAAACTATGTCACATAAATTGAAATGGAAGAAACAACTATGGCCGTGCTTTTCGGACAAGAAAGAACTAAAATATGAATGTCCAAGACTGCAATGAATTTTAGTTGAATAGAACACCCGTGCCAAACCATCCATTGTTGACAAGATTGAGGGATGTAATTCTCATTGCAGTACCGGAGAATACTTGTAACGACTCGGCCGGTCGTTTTGAGCTCTAGTGCGTCGTTCGGCAGTTTGAGGTCTTGATTAGCTTCACTTCATGTATTATGACTTGTACGTGTAGTCGGAATCGAATTTCGGGAAGTTCAGAGTTGATTCAGATGGAAAATTCTAATTTCGGAAGCTTTAAGTTGGAAGAATTGACTAAGGTTTGACTTTTGAGTAACAACCTCGGAATCGGTGATTGAAGGTTCCAATAGGTTCGTATGATGATTTCGGATTTGGGCGTATATTCGAGTTGAGTATCGGGTCACCTGGGAGCATTTCGACGCTTATTGTGGAAAGCTGGCATTTTGAAAGTTTTAGAATTTCCTAAGTTTGGTTTGAGGTGGACTTGGGTGTTATCAATGTCCGTTTAGGATTTTGAGTCTTGGAATAGGTTCGTGTCGTGTTTTGTGACTTGTACGTAAAGTTTGGCGTCATTCTGAAATGTGTAAGTATTAATCGGACGCGTTCGTCGAAGTTTGAAAGTTTAAAGAAAGGTTTCGATCGTCGATTCATAGTTTTGGTGATATTTGATGTGATTTGAGGCCTCGAGCAGGTCCGTGTTATGTTATGAAACTTGTTGGTAAGTTCGGATGGGATCCTGGGGGCCTCGGGTGTGTTTCGGATGAGTTGCGGATCACTTTGGAGCTTTGTTGTATTGCTGAAGGGCCTGAGTACTAGTGCAATCGCACTTGCGGAAAAGGGCCGCAAATACGACGACGCAGAAGCGGCGGAACCGCACCTGCGGAGGGAGGTAGCGCAGAAGTGGGGGCGCAAATGCACAACAAGCGCCGCAGATGCGGCCGGCGAGCTGGCCTGGGTTCTTGCAGGTGCGAGATTGAAGCCGCAGAAGCGACCAGGGGACCACAAATGCGAGGCAGCGCTGGGCAGACTTTATTTTTATACAGGATTTGGCCCATTTTCTTTCATTCTGTTACGACCCAAAATCTCACCACAAGCGTCGTGACCTAGTCTCTAAGACTATGTAAGCCGATTTCCATTACATTTCGAAGCCATTTTTAAAAAAAAAAAATGAAACCAACAACAGAAATAATTATAACAACCTCCCAAGACTGGTAGTACTGAGTCACTAACTCTAACATAATACATGAAATGATCTCAATAATCGAATACTCAATACTGTTTGATTAAAAATTAACAGTACATTGAAATAAACAGACTCCAAGGGACTGCGACGACCAAGCAGCTCTATCTTGAATCCTTGCGATCACACTCTAATTCTGTCCAGGTCCGATACCTCCAATACCTGGCTCTGCACAAAAATGTATAAAAGTATAGTATGAGTACACCACGGTCGGTACCCAGTAAGTATCAAGACTAACCTCAGTGGAGTAGAGACGAGGTACAGTCAAGACACTCACTAGTCAAATAACCTGTACAATATAGCAGTATACAATAGTACTGAAAAACAACTAGCAATGATAACAACAAACTCAACCAGTGATATAACAACAAGGCAATAAAAATATCATAATTATTACTCAGGCGAATAAGGAACACAAGTATAATCAACAAGTCAAGTCCTTCAAATATAAATCCTTCATATATTATTCTTTAAGATAAATATCTTTCAAATATAATTCTTTCCAATAAAAATATTTTCAAGTAAAAGTCACCATGTGACACTTCATTTCACAATCATAAAAATTTCGGGTCTCAGCCCACTTGTATATTTTCCACGGCACCTCGTGCCCATATTTCTATCACCATCACACCGACAACTCACGTGTCAATAATAAAATTATCATATTTTTTCTCGGCACCTCATGCCCATATTATTTTTATAACTGCACGGACAACTCACGTACCAAAATATCAATGTATATAAGATCCGCATGATCAATTTATTTTCAATAAAGTAAGGTTAAAAATCTTTAAATCAAATAAGAAATCAACAAAAAGATAAGTTTATTTTAGAAATTATTTGAGCGAGGAAAAATGACATTTCTATTAAAATAAAGCATAAGCTAAACTACTGATTTGGATATAGAATTTATTAAACTAAATATACTAGAAATATTTCTTTTATTTAAAATAACTCAATCATCAAAAACAAGTACAACCCAAAAATACAAATCTTCAAAGTCTCGTACGAAAAAGTCAAGGTCAACACAAATACATCAAGAAATACAAAACACTTAATATTAAGTCAAATAATACATCACGAAAAATACAAGAATTTACAAATTACGAAAAAAATAAAATAACCAAAGGCAAGTGCATCCATAGAAAAATATCAACAAAAGGGCACTCCCGAAGTACCGCCTCGTAGTCCCAAAAGTAAATATGCAAGACAGGAAAAATCTCCCGAGGTACCGCCTCGTAGTCCCAAAAGTAAATATGCAAGATAGGGGGGAATCTCCCGAGGTACCGCCTCGTAGTCCCAAAAGTAAATGTACAAGACAGGGGGAATCTCCCGAGGTACCACCTCGTAGTCCCAAAAGTAAATATGCAAGACAGGGGGATCTCCCGGAATACCGTTCTGTAGTCCCAAAATAAATATGCAGGGCAGGGGGATCCCCGGAATACCGTTCTGTAGTCCCAAAGTAAATATGATTTCAACAATTTCACATCAAGTACTCACATATCACAAATGGCTCATCAAGTGCTCAAATATTATAACATATCACAAATTGCACATCGAGTGTTCAAATATTTTAACTTGCCACAGAAATCAACAATACATCATTTTCCACAATAAGGAGCCCATGCTCGAACATAATGTGTACAAAATATTAACAAAATATATTTTACATAAATTCAAGGTGGCAATCACACCAAATCATCATATAAAAATAATTTCGACAAACAAGGATCTAGGCATGACAAATAGAGGATTTAATAAGTGCCAATAATTTCCAATTTAATACATAAGGGCATCTAAGGATTTTTAATCAATGAGATTCGCATATATAAACCAAGTACGTTCTC